GTTCCGCTATTTCATCATGGGAGCCAAACGCGTGATATTGATTTTAAATACTTTTAAAACTTTATAATGTATTCGGCAGAGAAATATTTAAAAAAATACTTGTATTAAAATGAAACGAAATGTTTTGCATATCTGGTAGAGAAAATAGGACAAATATATAGAAAATATAGGAGATATATTTTTGCTACTATGGAAGACTCACAAAAACCGCAACGTCAGCCGAATAACTGCACATTTACTTCCTTTTGCGATTATCTCGAAACTACATTTTTCGAAACGATGTCAAGTAAATCTCGTAAGCTACGTTGCGATTGCTGTGAAATTTGTAGACGATACTTTTGACACATTATCTAAAAGGTGACGTAGGATTTTTGCGATTACTTAATTGCTTTTTTTCTTTATTGACGAGAAAGTGTTTTGTTCGCTTCTGTGCTAAAACGATAGAAATACGGTCTCGGAGTAAAAATTTAATTGACCTGGAAATCACAGATGGCGCAGGGCGTCCCTCTGCAGACGATTAGGGCCCCAGAAAGCACGAATCCAGAGGATTTTTGGAGTTTTACTTCGATTTCTTTATAACTATTGTACGAAAAGGATAAGTGGAGTATGCCATTTAGTACAATATCCAATATAATTCGACCCAGCAGTGAATATAAAAACGATCGTCGGCAACGTAGGCATTTATAAAAATCTTCTCTATCGACGTCGATCAAGTTCCTCGACGTGTTTCACTTCACCTTAAACATTAAGGTGTTTCACTATGTCTTAAACATTAAGATGAAGTGAAGTAAGGTACTTAGACCCGGCTGTCAATATAAAAACGAACGTAGGCAACGTAGGCATTTAGAAAAATCTTCTGTATCGACGTCGATCAAGTTCCTCGACGTGTTTCACATCCCCTTAAATGCGTCGCGGCACCTCGAACGTATAGACTACATTATCGAGTTAATCCCTTGGTTTTCCATCCAGGATGCGTGACCTACGTCTGCGAGGAACAAGGGATCGCCTTCACAGGGGATGCTCTCTTGATACGTGGTTGCGGAAGGACGGATTTCCAGGTCCGACGGTTTGCCACAAGAATGGCCATTAGGTATACCCGGCTCAAAGGGACCAGCCTCCTGATGCAGTTCCTTGCTTTCAGGGTGGCTCGTCCAGGACACTCTACGAGTCCGTCCACAAGGTCATATTTAATCTGCCGGCCAATTATAAACTTTATCCCGCACACGATTACAACGGCAATACCGTCACGAGTGTGGCGGAAGAGAGAGCATTAAATCCGAGGTTGTCCAAGTCCATGGAGGAGTTCACGAGGATCATGGACAACCTGAACCTGTCCTACCCAAAGATGATAGGTGAGATGATTCAATTGAAATTTTCTATTTCTAATTTAATAACGCTCTATTTCCTATAGGTAGCGACATACAAAAATGAATGATCATGTCAAGTCAAAGATTTGCTGATTATACTGTCGCAGGGAAGTTAAGGTGAAGTGAAACACGTCGAGGAACTTGATCGACGTCGATAAAGAAGCTTTTTCTAAATGCCTACGTTGCCGACGTTGGTTTTTATATTGACATCTTGGTCGAATTGTATTGGGTATTGTATTAGGTTGTCCCATAAGTTTCTGCCCTTTTTTTCATAGGACTTGAATACACGATGCGAAAGGCACTTATGGGACAACCTAATACTAAATGGCATACTCCACCTGTCGTTTTCGGACATTCAGTATAAAGAAATCGAAGTAAAACTCCAGAAACCCTCTGGATTCGTGCTTTCTGGGGCCCTAATTGACTTCAGAGGGACCCCCTGCGCCATCTGTGATTTCCAGGTCAAATAAATGTTCACTCCGAGACCTTGTATTTCCATCGTTTTAGCGTAGAAACACATAAAACTCTTTTTTGCCTTTATCCCGTTCAAATGTGAGTTTATCGATTACCAAAGTGTTCTAAATTGTCGTAAAATTGTCCTGACCCTTTTGTTTCTCATACTTCTCACCTTAAATTGAAGTGAAACCCCCCTCAAATCAGTCAATTCGCATACCACACTTTTTTTAAGGGTATCGGACAAACTGTCCGAAACTTTGACACATGACTCGTGGTCATCTAAGAATTGTCCTGACACATTAACAATTTGGATTTTTAAACAAAATTTTGTAACTCAGCCCGGACCAGAACAAAAATGCCGTCAAGCTCTCATATTTCGATCAATATACAATTATCGAAGGCTCTGATATGAGAAGCGAAAGAGTCAGGACAATTTTACGACAATTTAGAACACTCTGGTAACCGATAAATTTGCATTTTAACAAAATAAAGGCAATAAAAGTGTCTTATGCGCTTCTATGCCAAAACGATGGGAATACGAGGTCTCGGAGTGAAAATTTAATTGACCTGGAAATCACAGATGGCGCAGGGGTCCCTCTGCAGTCAATTAGGGCCCCAGAAAGCACGAATCCAGAGGATTTCTGGAGTTTTACTTCGATTTCTTGATAAATATTGTACGAAAACGACAGGTGGAGCATGCCATTTGGTACAATACCCAATACAATTCGCCCCAGCTGTCGATATAAAAACGAACGTCGGCAACGTAGGCATTTAGGAACATCTTTATCGACGTCGATCATGTTCCTCGACGTGCTTCACTTCACCTTAAGAGCGGTCTGAGTTTCTTGCTCGTTTCAGGAATATGGAGAGAGAGTGATGCCATTTTATTCAGCCGTTCGGTACTTTGCAACTTCTATTGGACGGATCTCATTAGACCTCTCTGTTAATTGATTTCCACGCTTTCAAGCGCTCTCGAGGAGCATTTTCCAAGAGTTCTCTATTTACATGCGAGCGCTGAAGCGAAAGCGGGAGTAACTTCCGCATAATTCCCCGTATCCAAGGGGAAGGTGGAGGAAACAGAGGAATGAATTCCAGGAGACGAGTAAACGAGTCTCGACCCCGGGCGCGAATTAGACGACACCTCGGAAAAGTTTCCCTGGAGTTGGCCGTATGGGCGACTCCCAGAATTTCCCGACACCCGGTGTGTCGAGGTGGGACGTGGTCGGTGTACAGATGTAACACCCTGCGAATTTTCGTTTCAGACAAAGCTCTACCGGCCAATAAAGTTTGCGGACTCTTCGACGTGTGCGACGAGAAGGAGCAGTGAGACCCGCCAGGGTGGAGGGTGCGATTCCACTTCTCCGAGAAAACATCCATACCTCGTTAAAGGGACCTCCGAAGTTCACCCTCCAATCATTGACCTCCCAGAGGACGAAGAAAGGGCCCTGAAAGGTGATTCCGACGATGAGAGCCCTCTTCGAGCCTATTCCAACAAGCAGGCGGTATTAACAGGATTCTTTTTTTTTTAATCGATTTTTTAGCGATCGATGTTTGTTATTCTTCTAGGTGTTAAGAATATGTATGCCAGATTTTAAATCAAAATTCTCAAAAGGGCCAAGTTATAAACGATTTTATATTTGCTTGCCGCGTTACAAACGCCGACGACCGGACCTCCGAAGTTCACCCTCCAATCGTTGACCTCCCAGAGGACGAAGAAAGAGCCCTAGAAGGTGATTCCGACCATAAGAGCCCTCTTCGAGACTATTCCAACGAGCAGGCGATATTAACAGGATTTTCTTGTCTTTTTTCGTGAAAAAAAGGAATGGATTCTTCAGCGACCGATGTTTGTTATTCTTCTAGTTGTTAAGGTGATGTGAAACCCCCTTCAAATCAGTCGATTCGAATACAACACATTTTTTAAGGGTAAAAGACCAAACTATCCGAAACTTTGACACATCACTCCTGATCATCTAAGAATTGTCCTGACACATTGAAAATTAGGATTTTTTCACGAAATTTTCTAACTCAGCCCAGACAAGAACCAAAATGGCGTCGAGCTCTCATATTTCGATCAATATACAATTATCGAAGGCACTGATATGAGAAACTGAAGGGTCAGGACAATTTTACGAGGATTTAGAACACTCTTGTAATCGATAAACGTAGACATTTATAAAAACCTTCTTTATCGACGTCGATCAAGTTCATCGACGTGTTTCACTTCACCTTAATGACGACCGCGTCTCTTCAGCGTCGCGTGAATGGAGAAAGTGCGGATGGCCGGCGATCCATGTTTTTACAATCAAACCCTGCAGGCACGATGTACGCGCCGGGACTTTATGAGCTTAAAAACGGCGTCGTATCGCACCGGGCAAATCCATTACCATTCGCGTTTAAAATGCCGCGTACACATTGCGGGATTACGACAATCGCGTGGCCGCCGGTAGCGATAATCGCGTGGCAGCGCTCCGATATTGCGCGTGTTTTTCAAGCGCGTTAGTGTTAAACCCTTCTGGTAAGTAAATGTTTCCCCGAGCGCCGCGTAAACAGGTACGTAGTGCGGAGGAACGAGTGCCTCGAAAAAAAGAGAAAAAAAGCCCAAAAAACGGGAGGCGGTTTGTTGGAAAGCTCGTCGAAACGATGGAAACGACTTTGANATATGTATATATCATTTCAAACGATAAAAGAAATTGCTCGACCGAGAGTGGGGCAGCTTTATTTCCTCACGGTTCTGTGTATCTTGAAAGATCTTAATTACTCCTCCCGTAAAAGGCAGGAAAGAGTCTAGGGTCTTCCAAGAATTTCCGATTACTTTATTCCGCAGTTCTAATATGCTTTTTGCGAATCCGTACGATTTTGCGAGCTTTATTGCGCTCTGCTCGATGAAAGCTCTCAAGAGGTGTATCTGAAAAACAGATTGTGCCTTATAAAAAAAAAAAAAACAGTGCCCCTCGCTCCTAAATATATGTACGTATATTTAGTCATTTCTCATATCAGAGCCTTCAGTAATTGTATATGGATCGAAATATGAGAGCTCGACGGAATTTTGGTTCTGGCTTGGGCTGTTAAAAAATTTTTTCCAAAAATCCAAACTTTGAATGTGTCAGGATAATTCTTAGACGATCAGGAGCGATTTGTCAAAGTTTCGGACAATTTGGTCCAATACCCTTAAAAAAAAGTGTTGTATTCGAATTGACTTATTTGAAGGGGGTTTCACTTCACCTTAACACTATTTCTACCACGATTTTGTGTATACCTGTTTCGACCAAAAGGTTTTTATGAGCTGGAGGAAAATGATACCACTAAATAAATTTAACAATNCGTCACTTCCATTATATTGAATTTTACTTACAAGGAAGGTACCTGAGGTGTCCCCCTCCGATTTTGTTCATTTTTAAATATGTTATAGAGGACTAAAATCTAAGTGACCCGTGTTTTTTTTTTATAGGCGGATAAACACTTTTAGGGGATAAAATCAGGCTTCAAAGTTGGCCGTGCAAGGGGGTGAGTTGGCTGTTTCATATAAAAGCACTCGACCGATTTTCATGAAATAATCGTCAAAATGTAGGGAATGAAGAATTATGAAGCATGCATTTGGCCTTAAGTAGGAATGCTTGTTTAATAGATATTACAAAAAAATGTCGCCTGAAGGGTAGTTCACCCCCTTGGGGGGGTGTAGCATTGCTGGACAATATTGTGTTTTCACCGTCCTTAAACAGAATACGTTTATACCAAGTTTCATCGAAATCCCTCTTCTACGAAAATTATTATAAAAACTGAATTTTCGCCAAACTTTGGGGGGTTGTCTCACCCCTTAAATGTGGACCATCGCAGATATAGAAAAACACGTGTCTCTTAGATTTTTGTGTTCTTCAACATATATGAAAATCAATAAGATCGGGGGCGGACACTTGGGAATGTTTCCTTGTAAGTGGAATTCCCGTTTTCCATTCCAAATCACCGGAAAAATTGGTTACACCCGGTTAGACCTAGATCCTTGTAAACACGCGTCTAACCTAACCGCCGGCGTGGAGAACGTCGCGACAAAGCCGCGCGCGGTGCGTTTCTTTGTCCGGCGCGGAAACGTCGCATGACAAAAACGTTAAAATGAGAGGAAAAGGTAGAAGGGGAGAAAAGGGTTGTCCCAGCACCCCAGTCGAGAGAGCGACACGCCAGGCCGAGCTTTTGAGTCCCCTCCTAGTCTGAACGGCGAACGCCCACGAATGCTGAGGCCCTGTTGCCTGCTGGCTCTTGCGAAAGCTCATTCATGGACGCTGAAGAGACGCGGTCGACATTAATAATAAGTTCATTTGTAATAAGACTTCAATAAGTTGAAGTGAAACACGTCGAGGAACTTGATCGATGTCGATAAAGAAGATTTTTCTAAATGCCCTTACATTGCCGACGTTGGTTTTTATATTAACAGCTTGATCGAATTATATTGAGTATTGTACCAACGAAAACTAGAGTCTATTCAATTATCGGCATTAAATCGTAAACGTCCCACTTTGCACCTTAAAAGTAGTAGATACTTCCATTTCTTCTGCTTAAAAGCCTAAAGTAGGATTTCATTCGTAATAAGGTGATGTGAAACACGTCGAGGAACTTGATCGACGTCGATAAAGAAGATTTTTCTAAATGCCCTTACGTTGCCGACGTTGGTTTTTATAGTTACAGCTTGGTCGAATTATATTAGGTATTGTACCAACGAAAACTAGAGTCTATTCAATTATCGGCATTAAATCGTAAACGTCCCACTTTGCACCTTAAAAGTAGCAGATACTTCCATTTCTTCTGCTTAAAAGCCTAAAGTAGGATTTTTCTAAATACATACGTTGCCGACGTTGGTTTTTATATTGACAGCTGGGTGGAATTATATTGGGTATTGTATCAAATGGCATACTCCACCTGTCGTTTTCGAACAATAATTATAAATAAATCGATGTAAAACTCCAGAAATCCTCTGGATTCAAGCGTTCTGGGGCCCCAATTGACTGCAGAGGGACCCCCTGCGCCATCTGTTATTTTCATGACAATTAAATTTTCACTCGCATACTTTGTATTTCCATCGTTTTAGCGTAGAAGCGCGTAAGACACTTTTTTGTCTTTATTCCATAAATTTTCACTCCCATACCTCGTATTTCCATCGTTTTAGCATAGAAGCGCGTAAGACACTTTTTTGTCTTTATCCCGGTTGTCCGAGCACACCAGCCGAGAGAGCGACACGCCAGGCCGAGCTTTTGAGTCCCCTCCTAGTCTGAACGGCGAACGCCCACGAATGCTGAGGCCCTGTTGCCTGCTGGCTCTTGCGAAAGCTCATTCATTGACTTCGAATTAACCCTGATGGGGACACATTGTTTGCTTCGAGAAGAGGGAATTCGCTCTTCCGGGCTTTCGGGCTCCCGGGGTTCCCCTTATTTCCTAGGAGGAGACTTAGGAGCAGCGCACTTGTCCGGGGCGCGGACAAGGGGGCCATCGGGGACGTCGTTTTCCTGGGGTACACACCGATACAGGGGACGGGGTAAATGGCAAATAAAGGATGATTTGAACAATTATCAAACTCCACTTTTGGACGTTTTGTCGGGTTTATTGGATTTTCCAGGTTCCCTGATTGCCTCGATTTCAATGAAACGCCCAGGCCAAGTGTAGTGGTTCGACCGATGCAACCAGGTATTTCCGGTGGCGGCGCAAAGCGATTTGAAAGAGTGGGACCCTCCCTCAAAGGAACACTGGTGTGTTCACATTTTCCCATTAATTCCGAAATTATGAGAGGTGGCAGTGATTTTGCCAAGTTTAAGGTGATGTGAAACACCTTTCAAATCAGTCGATTCAAATACAACACTTTTTTTTAAGGGTATTGGACCGAACTGTCCGAAACTTTGACACATCACTCCTGATCATCTAAGAATTGTCCTGACGCATTCAACATTTGGACTTTTTAACAAAATTTTCTAACTCATCTCAGACCAGAACCAAAAGGGCGGCGAGCTCTCATATTTCGATCAATATACAATTATCGATGGCTCTGATATGAGAACCGGAAGGGTCAGGACAATTTTACGACAATTTAGAACACTCTGGTAATCGATAAACTCGCATTTGAACGGGATAAAGGCAAAAAAAGTGTTGTATGCGCTTATATGTTAAAACGATGGTAATACGAGGTCCCGGAGGGAAAATTTAATTGACCTGGAAATCACAGATGGCGCAGGGGGTCTCTCTGCAGTCAACTAGGGCCCCAGAAAGCTTGAATCCAGAGGATTTCTGGAGTTTTACATCGATTTATTTATAATTATTGTTCGAAAACGACAGGTGGAGTATGCCATTTGGTACAATACCCAATATAATTCCACCCAGCTGTCAATATAAAAACAAACGTCGGCAACGGAGGTATATACATAAATCTTCTTTATCGACGTAGATCAAGTTCCTCGAGATGTTTCACTTCACCTTAAGGGAGTATTATCGTCTAGAAGCTTGTTTTGAAGTCATTTTTAGGAATTAATT